GCCCAGACACACACCTAACAGTCCACAGTACCAAACGACAAACAGACACAGCTGGACGTCAGAGAAAGACCGGTTGGGCGAAGGGGAAAAACTGAATAATAATGAAAGAGATTGCAAGAGAAAGTGGCAAGTGCCGGTCTATATGGACAGGCGCACTTTAATCCCCACGAATAATTAGGAAGCAGATTAAAAATGAACGAGTTATCCCTCGGACTCTCATCCCTTGCTTAATTATCTGCGCAAGGATGTCCGTGTCCGTGGGATGTGTATGCCTGTTCGTACATAAGCCTACGGACGTGGCGGTACAGTATAGGACAACATATGTCAAATATAATAAATGTAATTAAATGTCTAGTTATTTGATTGATAATTGGATAGATAGAGAGATAAAAAGGGATATATGGATGGATAGATAAGCGAAAGGCAGACACAGACATGATAGATAAATGGACTTGTTAGAGAGAAGAGAGAGGAGCAGGAGAGAGAGAGAGAGAGGAGAGAGAGGAGAGAGAGAGAGAGAGAGGGAAGAGAGAGAGGAGAAGAGAGAGAGAGAGAGAGAGATGAGAGAGAGAAAGAGAGAGAAAGAAAAAAAAAGAGAGAGAAGAGAGAGAAAGAGAGAGAAGAGATAGAGAGAGAGGAGAGAAGAGAGGGAGAGAAGATAGAGATAGATGAGAAGATAGAGATAGATAGAGATAGATTAGAGATAGAAGGAAGATAAGAGAGAGAAGAGAGAGAAGAGAGAGAGAGAGAGAGAGAGAGAGAGAGAGAGAGAGAGAGAGAGAGAGAGAGAGAGAGAGAGAGAACGACAGACAGAGAGAGGAAGAGAGAAAGAGAAAGAGAAGAGAAAAGAGAGAGAGAGAGAGTGGAGTCAGCCACGGAAAAGACGAAGCGAAATAAGACCAAACACATGGCCCGCGGCACTTCATAACTTCTGTTTCTCGCAGCAGCTTGCAAACTTCAGACCTACCCCAAGACGGCCCTCCCCCCTCCCCCCTCTTTCCCCCTGCCCCTTCCCTCGCTGCTCCTGTTTCCAACTTCTTATTCTCATTCCCCTTCCCTTTTTCCACATTCTTCTCCCCTCTCTGGCCCTCCTCCCCTCTCCCTTCTCCTCTCCCTACCCCTTTCTCTCTTTTTAACCCCTACCTTCTTATTCCCTCTCCTTCACCTCCCTCCTCTTTCCCCTTCTATCCTCACCTCTCCCTTCCAACCTCGCCCCCTCCCTTCCTCCAACCCCACCTCCACCTCCAACCCCATTTCTCCCCTCCTCCTCCAACCCCACTTCTCCCTCCCCCCTCCCTCCTCCAACCCCCCGCACCAGCAGGTCAACCCCTCTCTCCCCTCCCTCCTCTCCCCCTAACACTCCCCCCTCCCCTCCACCTCCCGCACCAGCAGGTCAACCCACCCACCCCCTCCCCGTCCTCCAACCTCGCTCGACGCGCCTCGACCCCCGATATCAACCCCATCAGCTTCAGTCGCGCGGAGACCTTTTTCGTCCTTAAACTGGTTCGAGTGCGAGTCGCTTCCAGGAGAGACCCCGCGTTGGCTGCTTGCTCTCTCTCTCTCTCTCTCTTTCTTCTTTCTCTCTCTTTCTCTCTTTCTCTTTTCTCTCTTTCTTTCCTTTTTCTTTTCTTTTCTCTTTCTTTCTTTCTTTCTTTCTTTCTTCTTTCTTTCTTTCCTTTTCTCTTTTCTCTCTTTTCTCTTCTTCCTCTCTTTCTTTCTTTCTCTCTCTCTCTCTCTTCTCTCTCTTCTCTCTCTCTCTCTCTCTCTCTCTCTCCTCTCTCTCTCCTCTCTCTTCTCGTCCTCTCTCTTTCTCTCTCTTCTCTCTCTCTTCTCTCTCTCTTCTCTCGTCTCTCTCCTCTCTCTCCACTTCTCTCTCCCTCTTCTCCCTCTCCTACCTCTCTCCCTCTCTCTCTCTCTCGCATCTCTTCGCTCTCGACCGCAGCGGCGAAGTGCGAATGGAAATATAAAGAGAGAAGAGAAAAAAGGAAGAGAGAAAGTTGGGTGGAGAGGGGGACGGGAGGAAAGGTGAGGGAAAAGAAGAAGAAAAGAAAGAACGAAAACAGAAGAGAATAAACGAAAGAAGACGAAAATAGTAAAAGAAGAAAGAAGAAAAAGAGAATAAAAAAAGAAGCGAAGAGAAAAAAAAAAAAAAAATAAAAAAGAAAAATAAAATTAAAAATAAATAAATAAAAAATAATATTCCTACCTCGTCCACCCGATCCAGGCCTACCCCCTAACACGTGAGAAAGAGAAACACATTTTTTCTCTCTCTCTCAAATTCGTGAGCCTTTCGAACGACAATTAAACCCAGTCGTCACTTCTAACAATACAGCACAACGACCACACTCATAACGACGACCAACCACCTCATGACCCACCACCAACCACCGCCACCTCTAACCTCGTCCACTTGCATGACCTCTTTCTCTCTCTCTTTTCTTTCTTCTATTTTACTTTTACTTCTCGTCCATGTCCAACTAACTAACCTCCTCCTCCTCTTCTATTTCTTTTTTCTCTCTTCTTCTTCCTCTTCTTTTCCTTTCTCCTCCTTCTCCCTCCATACCCACTCCCTCTCCTTCTTCCTCTCCCACCCTTCGTAAGTCATCTGAATGAAGCTAAAAAGAAGAAAAAGAAAACACAGGAAGAAGACGAAGAAGCAAGAAGTAGAAGAAAGAGAAGAAGAAAGCAAGAGAGGAGGAAGAAATAAGAGAAAGAGAAAAGAAGAAGAAGAGCAAGAGAAGGAGGAATAAAGATAAGAGAAGAGAAGAAGAAGAAGAGCAAGAGAAGGAAAGAAGATAAGAGAAGAGAAAGAAAGAAGAAGAGCAGAACAAGAGGAGGAGGAATAAAGATAAGAGAAAAAGAAGAAAACAAGAGACAAAGAGAAGGAAGAGCACAGATCCCGAGGAAGCCGCGTCGAACCGGGCACCGGGTATAACGACCAGGCGCAACTAAACACGAACCGAAACACCGGGAAGTCCACGTACGGGGTTCCCTTCGGCAGGTAGCTCAGCTGATCTCCTAAAGCGATAACCTGTCTGACACACGTTTCTGCATTATTCAAAGTAAAGATAAATAAATAAATAAATAAATCTGCATTATTCAAAGTAAAGATAAATAATAAAAATAAATAAATAAATAAATAAATAAAATAAGAAAGAAAGAAAAAATAAAACTTAAGAAAGAAAGAAAGGAAGAAAGAAAGAAAAAAAAAAAATCAAAAGAACTCGATGTTTCACGAAAAAAAACGCCAAAAATGGACACTTGGCTGAGGGTGAGGAATAAGATTCCGATTCTCAGTAGTAATATTTCCCCCAACTTGAATAAAATTATTACTTATTTTTTTTTCCTTTTTTTCAGGGGGGGGGGGGGTGGGGTGAACTAACTGCGTGCGGGACAGTACAGAAATCTAATTATTAGGCTGTCAGGCATTTTTCTATCTTTTTTCTTCCCTTTTTTTCTACTTTGACACTCACTGAATGAACTTACTGTCAACTGTCGTGCAATATTTACTGTTCTATCGTATGCCACTTGCAAAGCAATATTCTTCTCCTCTTTATCACTACGTTTAAATTGAAAGAAAATATAACGAAGCAGAATAACTGTCAAAAGAACACATGTATCTCCTTCTCCCTCCCCACTTACAACAGTAAAAATAAATAAAAATAAAAATAAAACGAATATTTCCCACGTCTTCAAAAACTCTAAAAAAAAAAAAGTTTTAGGTTAGCACGAAGTCTCAATATGTTCAAAAGAATAACTAAAAATCTTTCTTTAACCGTTCCTAGAAATACACCAAAAGTGCAAAATAAATAAATAAAAATGAGAATAAAGAAATCCCTTTTCCAGAATGAACTCAAAATATTTTTCATTTATAATAACATACGTATATAAACTTCTGATCCAACCATAGGCCTATATTCCCAAATCACATAACACCCCACGTAAAGAAAAAAAAAAAAGAAAAAAAAAAAAGAAAAAAAATCACATATCTGCAATCTCAAACAAGTCCATTTCTGAAAGACTCTCCATTTCAAAAAGACAAAAAAAACAAGAAAAAAAAAAGAAATAAGAAAGAAAGAAAGTAAAAAAGGAAACAGAAAAGAAAGAAAGAAATAAAACAAGAAAAAAACAAAAAAGAAACAGAAATAAGAAAGAAAGTAAAAAAAAGGAAACAGAAATAAGAAAGTAAAAAAAGGAAACTAAAAAGGAACTTTGACAACACAACACAATTGCTCTCCCCTTGACTTTACACAAAAAAATACGATAGGTTTTTCGTTCTTGATGCTACAGTTCGACGTTGGACGTTAGATCTCGGGGCTAAAGGGGAGGAGAGAGAGAGAGAGGTGATAAAGTTGGAATAAAGGAAAAGGGGGTAATAGAGAGGGTGATAAAGATGGAAGAAAGGGGGGATAATGGAGAGAGGTGATAAAGTTGGAATAAAGGAAATAAGGGGATAATAGAGAGAGGTGATAAAGATGGAAGAAAGAAAATAAGTGGGATAATAGAGAGAGGAAATAAAGATGGAAGAAAAGAAATAATGGGAGATAATGGAGAAAGAGGAGCTATGGAGATGAGAAGAAAATGAAAGGATATGACGGGAAGATAGAAGACGAAGAATAAGAAAAATTATGAGAGGGAAGGAGAAGAAACAAGATACGAAAAAGGAATCCATGATAAAAAGAAGAAAATGAGATAGAAAAGAAGAAAAGGGAACCAACGCAAGAAAAAAACCGAAATAAAGACAGGACTAAGAAGATGAGAGACAAAACTATAAAGAAATTATAGACACGTCAAGAAAATGCACAAACACTTAATACATTTCCATTTTTTCATTCGCATACATCACTTTTTTTCCGAATAACGTCCACAAGCACAGCCCTGAATAAAATTTGGAAATAAGCACACCAAAACATTTTTTTTCTATATTTGTAATTCAAATGTAGTTGATTTTTATCACATACACGTGTAGGGGATAAATGAACTAAATCGAATTTACTTACATCATAAAGCATAACCTGGAGATAAATCGCGGTGTTGATCTTTGCAGACGGTAAAATCCACGGATTGCAATAATTCACTTGTAAAATCAACTTAAAAAAGTAACAGATATGATTTTTTCACTCTGTCAACGTATAAGTTAATCCAGGAGCAATATGTATATTTTCCAACTATTTAATTGCCTGTCTGGATTTTAATGGCTTATTAATCACTTTGCAGTTATGCTTCACAGATATATATTGGTTTAGGTATAACACGATTTTCTTTTGTGTGATAATTTTGAACACACGTGGTTGGGCGCGGGTGATCGGAGGCCAGCACGACGAGCGACAACCTTCCTCTCTCACAGTCAGATCCACACTGTCGCTGAGGTTGTCATACGGAGGCTACTACCATGAGATTTTCGGGTCACGCGCGTTGAATTCACCGATTCTAAAACTACATTTGTATTTTGTTTCCATATTTTTATTATGTTAAATAACATACATATATAAGAACTGAATTACGTATCTCGAATTTTTATTAAACGAACTAATGATGGAATTAAGTAATTGGAAGTACAATGATCGTACGTCTGGCTGCGCGGTCGCCGTCAGAGATGTACTCGGTAATTCGCAACAGAGTTAGTCCCGCTGAGGCAGTCGAGGAGGGTGGATGTGTTCGCCTTGCGCTGCGGGATATGCTAACTTTCCACTCGGAATTTCCAATAATTCTCTGGAGAAATTCGCATAACTCCATTCGGCTGTCAGGATTATGATGATATACTTGTCATTTACGTGCTAAGGTTGGGCGATACCGATTTTAAAAGCGATTTACATACGGATACGTTTAAGCAGAAAAATATTTTCTTTGTCTTCCGCGCCAATGATATACAACAAGCCATAAAGTTCCGAATGATATTTCTGCTCGTCCAAAAAAAAAAAAGATAGGTTCGGCACTGCATCAAAGCCTTCGCGAAAATAACAAGAAATGGAAAATAACATTTCTTCCTCATTTCAATAATTCCCCGACGAAAAGAAACACTTGAAAACTTTCGATCGAATGAACTCCGGACATAAACCGAAGACTTTATTTTTTACGATGAAATACGCCATATAAAACGAAGAAAAATGAAACAAAACGACGAGAAAACGCGGTAATTGCGTTAATGTCGCCGACTTCTGAAAATAACGTAATATACTAACGTATTTCAGAAGGGGTTTTGGGGAGATGAACTTGCGATATCTGGCCGAGAGGTGGCGCGTGTTTACGTAATGAGTCGATAGGAATTTTTATCCTCGGAATTTGCGGTTTTTGAGTTGCGGGGGAAATCTGGACGAAATTCTGTGAATTCCTTTGTTCTTTTTCCTTTTTCTCTTTTCTCGATTCTCTCTGTCTGTCTCTGCTTGGCGGTGTCTCGTCTCGTTAGTTCAGTCTTGTCTGCTTGTCTGCTGTCTCACTCTCTTTCTTCTCTCTCTCTCTCTCTCTCTCTCTCTCTCTCTCTCTCCTCTCTCTCTCTCTCTCCTCTCCCTCTCCCTCCCCCCTTCCTCACTCATTCCCATCCCTTCTTTATCGCAGTCTTTCTCAACCTTTCTACAATTCTTCCTCACTGACTTTCTTTTATCTTTATCTCGCTCGCTCTCTTCCCCGTCTTTATTCTTAATCAATGTTCCCCAGAACCAATTTTGCCGTTTCCTTCCCTAACCAATCTGATTCTCTCTCTCTCTTATCTCTCTCTCTCTCTCCCTCTCTCCGTCTGTCCCGCTCTCTTCTTTATTCGTCGATCTGGTTCTTCTCGATTCTCTTCGTCCTACTTTATTCCTTTTTTTTCTTGTCTCTTTCTTTTCTTCTTCCTTCCTCCTTGGTCCTCCTTCGCCTCTTATCCTTCTTTCGTCTTTCTTTTTTTTTTTTTCTTGGCTCTATTCCCCTTCTTCCTCTCCCCTTATTTTGTTTATTTTTCTTCATCTCCCCCTTTCTGGGTCTTCTTCCTCCTTATTTTTCTTTCCTTCATTTTTCCTTCTCTCTTCTTCCACCTACTTCCTTATCCTATTCACCTCCCTTTTTTCCCATCCCCTCTCCTTTCTCCTCCCCCCTCCCTTTCTCCTTCCCTCTCCCCTCTCTCCCCTCCTTTCTACTTTCTTTCCCCCTCTTTTCATCCTCTCCCCTTCTCTTTACTTCTCTTTTCTTTCCTCTCTCATCCACCCTATCTCTTCCTCCCTCCTCGCCCCGCCTTCACACACTCGCCCTCCACCCTTCCTCACATCCTTCCTCCTCTTCCACCACCGCCCTACAGCATCCCTCCCCTCACCGCGTCTAACTTCTCTCCTCATGGTCTCCCATCCCTACTACTACTCCCCCATCCCTATCCATCCTACCTACTCTCCCCCTACCTCCCCTTAACCCTACTCCCACCCCCCCTCACCCTATTCTCTCCCACCTTTCCTCCTTCC